CACGTCTGTTCTCAAAAGCTGGTTGGGTGACCAAGGAATTGCACACTACTTTGCATCTGTCGGCCGTCCACAAGAAAACGGCCAGGTAAAAGCCTTTAATAAAATCATCTCAGACGGTCTCAAGAAAAAGATTGAACGAGCAGGCGGCCTATGGGCGGATGAATTACCACATGTTCTCTGGGCCATTAGGACGACTGAAAAAGGGGCGACTGGAGAAACTCCATTCCTCCTAACTTATGGTGCGGAAGCTGTTCTTCCAATAGAACACTACGAGCCGACTCTTCGAGTAATGCTATATGACGAAGAGGCAAACTGGGAAGCCATGTGCCTGACATTAGACTCACTTCCTGAAAGGAGGGGCAATGCTGTCTTGCGCCATGAAATTTACCGCCTGAGAATGACTAGATCATACAACAAAAAAGTACACAGGCGTCCACTAAAAGTGGGGGACTTTGTACTTAGAAAAATGGAAGCAGTTGGTAGGGCTAATGAGTCTGGCAAACTAACTCCCAACTGGGAAGGACCCTACCGAATCTGTGAAGAGGTCAGGGACGGTACCTACCGTCTGGGAACACCAGACGGACAACCGTTGCCTCGAACTTGGAATGTAGATAATCTTAAGAAATATTTCTTTTGAATGATGTAAATAGTCAAGGGCTACTTAATAAAAGTTTGCATACTTAATATTCAATTTTGTACTAAGAGGGGCACGCCTACTAACAAACAGTCGACTACTCTCCATACTCAGTTCTTATTCTTACTTAAGAGGGGCATGCCTGCTGACAAACAGTCGGCTACTCTCCATTGAGTATTTTATTCTATCTTCAGAGGGGCATGTCGTCTGTACCTTTACAGTCGACTACTCTCCATTGAGTATTTTACTCTATCTTCAGAGGGGCATGCCGTCTGTACCTTTACAGTCGGCTACTCTCCATTGAATATTTTACTCTATCACCATAGGGGCACGCCGTCTGGACATATAGTCGGCTACTCTCCATAGAAGAGGGCCGACTGGTTCCAAACACACAGCCACCCCCCTTATACTTAACTAAAAATGATCAGGGCCTGGCCGACCCTGTGCCTAAACAGGCGGCTACCCTCCTTTTACTTAGCACCTACGTTCACCAAGAACTAACCAAGGCCACAGGCCGAATGATTAGACCAGGCTCCAAGCCAACTGATCCAATCTTCAAAACTAATACGACCTGTCCCAACATCATAGCAGGCGTCCGGCGGCATCCCTCCGGATGAAATTCGTCGCAGAGAGCAGCTCCCTTTTGGGTGGAACATTGCTCTATAAACTAATTACACGGCACCTATACGACTGTCCCCAAGGGCAACCACGTAGCCGTTTTTGAGACAAGGATAACTCTATCACTAACCAAACCAGTGGTAGCAGTTGACATCTGAGTCAGATGACCGCCTGTATTACTTGGGATAAATGCAGGGGGTATCTCTTGAGTTAATAGCAACCAAACATTGGCGAATCAAAAGGTTCAGCCGGCCTCCGCCGCCTGGTACCTTTACTACTCAAGCAGGAATGACGGCGACTGAGTAACACCAAAGTTAACTCATAGTCACTCTCTCAAACTTAGTATGGAGCCTAAAAGGTATGAGTCGTCCGCCTGTTTTTAGCAAACAGGGGCTCTCAACCACTACTCCTGCTAGGTTAACAACCTATGAGTTAAAAGCCAACAAACATTGGCGAATAAAGGGGAACAACCGGTACCCACCGCTTGATACCTCTACTACTCAGTTACTTGGCGACTAGGTAACAATCATGTTTACTTGGTCACTCCTTAAAAATTTAGTATGAAACTAAAAAGGTGTTCATACAGCACCGGCTCACACTAGATTAAATATGGCGGGGAACAGTCGGCCTAGACGGCCTAAAGTCTCTAGCCTAAAAACATGACAAGTAGGAAACCACTTTCCTACTTGGTTAATTTTATATGACAGAATCGCCTGCAAGAAGGGGCGGATTCCTGTTCCACCTGTTGAAGCGCTTGTTCAGCTCTGTGTCTGAACTCTCAATGATGAGGAAGGTGCTCCGCCAGTCCTTCCATTTGTTTGCTTTACCTCTCTTCATGAGGTAGCCCCTGTGGCTCGGCAATTGATACCAGCCGGTACCGCCTGCCTTAGGGGTCCGGCTGAGGTAGTTCATGTGGGCGAAAGCCTCGAAACTCGGCTCCACCCCGTGCAGTTCGCACCCGGCCACATAGCCGAGTACGTTGACCCAGGAGTTCGGGGCTAACTGCCATAACCCCAACTCATACCCATCCAAGATCCGCTGAACAGCTGGATGTAGTGGGAAGCGCAGCCCAGCCTTGATGGCCGCCTCGTAGCAGCCAAAACAGGCGCCATCATAACTGGTACCAGCCGGCCATACGACTGTGTCTTCTGGATCCGGCACGAACACTAAAAAGCCGGGGCCCATTGTGTGGTTTGCGATAAAGCTCTCCACTTTCTCTTGCATGGCCGTGATCCGGACCCGAGGTACCGTGCAGTAGTAGGGGGTATTTTGCTCTCGGTGAGAGGCGGATGGCTCCGCCCAATCGTCCCCCTTCTCAACTGCGTGAGAAAGCCTCACCTCTTGTAGGCGACTGTTTTTCTCTTCTGTGTCCAGGGAAGCATGGCCAGAAGAGCTAGACTCGGAATCGTCCTCTGACGAGTCCGAAGAGGACGACTCTTCCCCTCTCCCGGAGGGGCCCGCCTCCTCTCCTTTAAAAGGAGCAGGAGAGAATGTAGAATTGTCAACTGTAAAATGGGAAGGGGTCACTTTGACTCCTCCCTCAGAACTGCCGGCTTTCAAGCCGCTTTGTTTCACTTCCACATCTGGCGCCTGGTCAGATGTTTCACTAATCGGCACCCTGTGGGAGGAGCCGTCTGAGTTTGAGATCCTGGCAGTCTTTTTTGTTCTGGCCATCATGCTCTGCATAGACACAGATACAGTCAGACTTTGTATAAAGGGCAAAGATGGGTCCAGAAAAGGGCAGGCGGCACTCCTAGTCCTAGATTCAGCCGTCCCCGGTGACCGGCTGATCACTAACCTAGGTCGTGTCGTGTGCTTCCGTGGTGCCATTTCAAAAAAGAATAAAGTAAAGAGAAAATTAAGAGTAAGAGAACCGACGGTTACCTGAACGAGTGACGATTGATGAAGTTCTGAAAATCCTTTGCAGTCGGCTTGTCAGAGCAGGCGGTAGGCAGAAAGGGTCCAAAATGTCAGAGCAAGTTCAGGGGTCCGAATGTTCTCTCACAAAGTTTTCAAGTGTGAAAATGACCGAAGTCAACACTCCTTTATATAGGCGAAGTGAGAAGGCGAAGGGTCACTTCCAGAATTCAAAATTTTGGCGGGAGAATCTCTCGGCCTCTCGCCGAGTGACACATGTAGCAGGTTGTCGCCTGTTACAGGGCGATACCTGTCACAGGTAACACGTGACCAGTCACGTGCCACCTGTGAGGGGCAAATGATTAGGGGATTTTTCCCCACCAATCACCATCTGACAAGTGGACCAATCAGGTTCCGCCATGTGTCCGTCACATGGGCCAATAGGAGCCTGCCACGTTTCAAGCAATGATACGTCCACTATGGACCAATTACGACACGACACGTGTCCTTCCCATGACACCTGGGATAACCGGTCGCCTAGGCCCAACTTCCGAGGGAAGCCCAATCAGCCCAAGGTTAACCTAAACCTAGATTGACACGTTTCCCGAGGTTATAAATACCTCCCTTAATCCTCATTAAGGGGGATTACACACTAAAAACGCAGATTACACACATTAAACACTCTCACCTAGAGAGACCCAATCACTTTAATTTCCGCATTAATTACTCCTTAATCAAGTACTAACTTGACCGTCGGAGGCGGATCTCCAATCATCCGGAGCATCCGTTTGTTTTGCAGGTACAGGCGTCCGGTTCCAGTCTCGGAATTGTAACTCTCCCGCAGGACATCAGAAAACCCCGAAACACCTATCATATATTTCCGGCTCAAAAAAAGTTTAAATGTTTGTACATACGTTGCATATATGTGTTATACCACTAGTATCTTGCCGGCCGAGCGTGGTTGCAATTAGTAGAGACTAGTAGAGGTCGTAATCTATGGAGACTTACATAATCGTGTAGGACCCATGCACTCCTATATACCGCGGTTTTCAATCAAATGGACGTGATATAATGTTAGTTTTAAGAGTACATGTTTCATGGTAGCATGTTCTCAGGTGATCAATAATCTGTTATTCTGTTATTACATTCATAATAATTGTTGATGATGCAGAATTTATTAGATGGTATTTACTGTATATTAATTCATTCATTGTTGATGATGCATGCAAAAAACTGTTTCATAAAATTATGTTGAAACTTGAAAGGGGTTGCCAATAATTTATGTTCTTTAACCATTTAAACAACATATGTATACATTCGAGTGTATGATAGCATTTTGAGTGAACGTACAATCTCTTAAATATGTAGTCTGTATAATTTTTTTATTGCCCGTCCTCGCATAACAAAAAATAAATAAATAAAAATTCGAGACTATAATAAGTTTAATAGTTTTGTGTCCTAATATACGGGGAGATTGTCCCGTTTAATAAAAAAAATGTGTGCTGTGAAATTTGTATGTATATACCATAATTTATACATATTTAAGTTGAGCATGACACTAAAATTTTGGAGTATATATACCATAGTACTATACTCTTCTGAAATCTCCTTACAACTACTCTCCTTGCCTTAACTCCCTCAACAATTTATTATCTATTTATTATTTCTATTAAATCCTTCAATTTTCTTAGCCAGCAATTTTATTTTTTTTCATTTCTGTTAACCTACAAAAGAACCAAAAGTCACGCATCTACATATTACCCCTACAAATTGTTTTTCTAGAGATGATTCTCCCAAAAAGTATATCATAGATAGATTATCGCCTAAATTTTCCTCTCATCCTGCTTTTTGCGGGGTGAGGAGAAAAAAAAAACACGTCTAATTTATTGTTATGGAAGAGGGTGAGGCTACAATAACCAATAATTCCAACGTTGGATCTCCAAATAAGAACAATGATCATTATTACAACCGTCACAAGAAACCCCCAACTTCCAAGAACAAAAAAAAAATGTTCAAGGGGAGTCTTATGAACGTTATCAAGGTGGTATTGTACATGTTGAGGAGGAAGGGCGACAAGACTGGTAAAAAGTTGTCGCCCTCCCTCTCAACAGCCACCAACACCTCTCTAACGAATTTTGTGGGGGCATTTCGGCCCTTTCATCTTCAGAGGGACAATGGTGACATGACTTCAACACCACATCCCCAACTTCTTTTCTCTAGGCATGATGATGAGGTAATTGAGGCATCCCCTTATCATTCCAAGTATGATGCCTCCTCCTCGCCCTCATCCATGCGCTCATCATCCTCTAGAGGAGATATGAGTAGGTATGCCTCAGCTCAAAGTTTAAATGATCTTGATAATGTTGAAGAAGACGAGGATTCAGACGAGGAGGAGGGTATGATGATTGATGGAGATGCTTTCTACGACGGGCTTGAAGGGGATGAGATGATCGATCACAAGGCTGATAAGTTCATTGCTAAGTTTTACCAACAAATGAGGCTCCAAAACTTTTAATAGAATTATACAACAAAATATTGAGAATTTAGGAATCCATGATCATAATTCATGCATGTTTAACATTGAATATTGATGGTCTCATGGTTAATTTTTTGAGGGAAATAAATATGAAGGAAATTATAATTTTGCCATTGATTGGGAAAATATAATAAAAGAGAATAGGTTTACGTATTAGTGATGACTACGTGCAATTTAAATGGATTGCACGCTTTGATCATCATCTATATTGGTCAATTGATTTAATTTCTTGATGCCATTTTATATTATTTTAGTAGTATACTTGTAATTTCCCAATTATAATTTTCTTCTTTAATTCCTCTCACATTGTGTAGGAACTTTTTGGGGTGGGATTACCATGTATTATTTATTTAATTGGTCTTGTGTGAAATAAAAGTTTAGAGTATGTCATTTTTTATGTTTGGATATGATTTTTCCTTTTATTTCGGCCCGAATTTGGAGGACATTTGGTTCCCTTATTTCCACTAAACGCCATTATTATATATGGTAGTTCTCTCTAGATATATTTTTACACTTTCCTATGAAGTATTATGCAAAATATAATGCTATTGAAGATAATACCTTCTCGGTTTTTTAATTGTAATTGTATTAAGTGTTGATTATTTAGAGTGTCGGAGTGGAGCGCCCGCTCTACTGATTGATCGCGCTCGCGCTAGATAGGCGCGACCCGCGATGAAACCGTGCCAAAACCGCGTTGAGTTTCTGGAAATCTGGCAAAACTTTGGAGGAGCGCCCGCTCTTCCTGGTGGCGCGCCCACGCCAATATTAGGCGCGGCCCGCGTCTAAGTCGCGACAAAATCGCGCCAGGTTTCTGGAAAATCAGAAGTTTGGGAAGATCAGAGGTGGCGCGCCCGCGCCCCTCGGTGGAGCGCCCGCGCTGCTGTGGTGGCGCGCCCGCACTTCTTTCCGTTTTAGCAGTTTTTGCGTCGATTGAGTCTATGATTATAAGACTTGTTTTCAATCAGAAAAAAGATACAGAACATTATTCTCTCTATCTCTCCCTAAGAATTCTCCATAATTTCTCTCAAACTTCTTGCAAACTTTTGTAAGAAATCCTCTTGATTTTTAGCCTTCTTTGTGAATCATTCATCTTTATTTCGATTCTTTGAGCTAAGAACAAAAGGGTTGTCTTTTGTATCTCAAAGAGAATTTCCAGATCAAACCCAAGCACCGTTGTGGGGGAAATTAAACTCTTTAGGAAAGTGTTTACACGCCTAAAACAATGTATCAAGGATTGAGACTCAAGTGGTCATTGTATTTCTCATGTTCATGTGCGTTTGTTAAGGCTTGGAGTAGAGGCAAGTATATTATCTTTCACACTAGTGTTTTCCGTTGTAATTTCTGGAATATTGTGATATTTTGGTGTTTGGTTGTAATACATTGGTTTGTATTTGGATTATTGTATAATTTGATATTGATTATACACAGTTAGGTTTTGTTCTCACAATTATTAAAGTAGTTCTTGCTCTAGAATTACTTGAAAACCTAACATTAGGCTATAACGCGCTTTTATACGGTTACGATATATGTACAATGCATGTTAGCATGTATGTGTTACTTATTAACGGCATGCATGTTAGCATTTATACGTTAATTTACTTGTAGAATTTAGTACTTCTTAGTGTTAATCTACTACACTATATATGAAAAATCCGAGAGTGAAGGATACCTTAGTTGGTTAGAATTTCTTACCCGATTTCAGGAGGTTGATGATCTGATAAAATCATATTATCTCTGAAAAAGGCTGCGGTAGCCCTAGCTCAAAACTCCAAGGGTGAGGTTGCCCAAGCGAAGACATTTGTACCAGCAATGTAAGATTGTAGGGCCGAGTTTGGTCCAGGAGCCAACGGTATTTGTCAAAATGCTATAGTTCTCAATAAACTGGCTTTGACATATGCATTAAGACAGGTAAAAAGATTTACCTTAAACTCACAAGAGATACAAATCTCTGTGTTGAAAAGGACATAATCGAGGCCGAGCACTGCATGGCTCGAATCACGTCATGAGTGTCATGACCAGTGCGCCTTGCAATGGTCTCTTTATGTTGTCAAAGTTAGGTTTACTCGAATGCATTTGTTAGACATCTATCCTACCACAATGTAATTGTGCCATTTGTGTGTAAAATAAATTATTACTTGGTGTTTGGGTCCAATTTAGTCCAATTGGGCTTAGGCATTAAATGATCCAATTAAAAGCCCAATGTCAAGGTTCAACTCTCCAATTGTGCTAAAGTCAAAGATCAGCCCTCAAGGCAAGCCAATTGGGCTAGGCCCAACTTCTCCATGTATGAAGAGGTATAAAAGCCATCAATATTACATTTTTATGGAGATTCTCATAGATTCTGATATATTCTCATTAATTCAAGCAAAGCCTCAGGCAACAAATTCTCTTGCATAGTGTTCTCTTTCTACACATTGTACTGACTTTAGCATCGGAGGGGCCTTCCTCGGCAACACCCCCGAGGCTAGTTTACGTTTGTTTACTGTGCAGGAAACCTTCTACCCAACATTACTTGGACCGAATCTAGTCTTCTCCGTTTCATCGGACCTTCGGCAAGGTCCCATTGTTTTCACCCGAAACAATTTGGCGCCGTCTGTGGGGAAGACTTTCAAAAATCTTTAAGCCAAATTTCTAACCAAGATCATCTTGCAATTATCTTAGTAGCAATGGCTAAGAACCGCAAGAGCAAAGGCCTCCGTCAAGGAGCGGGCGAAAAGCCTAAAACCCCTACACCATCACCCTCGCGGGACCGGAACTCTCCCAAGGGTGCCAGCTCGGGGGGAGGATCATACAAGGAGGATTCCCTTTCTCCCGTAATTCATGACTTTCATCATAGGCCGAGTCACTCTCGGTCTAGCAGGGGTGAGTCCGATCATAGGACACATGCGGTGCCCCAAAGCCAACCATCGAATGTGCCTCCTCATTCCCATACTCGGCCGAGGACCCCTTTGATGGGGCCCAGCTCGGAGGAGGTGGCAAGAGCGCTGGCAGTTCTCATGGAGGCGATGAGGGCACAAAATATGCCACCACCTCGTGATCGAACTCCTCCGCATACCCGGCATCAGCGGAGGAAGCTAGACCATGATGGTGGGAAGCTTCCTTCCTTCCGGGAACTGGAAGAGTGGGAAGAGGATACCTGGAAAAATGAAAAAGAGAGGAAAAAGAACCCTCAATTTTTAAAAGGATCCTCATCCTCCCGACCAGAGACGCATAAGAGCAGCAGCTCAGCTTCTCGGCCAGAATCTACTCACCGAGAACCTGAGACTATTCGCCAAAGCGTCCTCGACCGACTCGGCGGCAAGGAACCGAGCGTGCGCAGTCGCCTCTCGTTCCCTGCGGCCGAGGCCCAGACTTCCCATCCAGGGACGAAAACCACTCCTACCTCTCTAAGAGGGCGGAGCGCGGTCCCTTCGGCTAGGAACAAGGGCAAGCTCGTTATGCTACCCGCCAGTTCGCCATTCGAGCAATGGATACTGGAAGAGCACGTGCCCACGGTTAAAATACCATCGCACATCACATATGACGGGACCTCGGATCCGAAGGACCACGTGGCCTCGTATGAGACTCATATGCATCTTTGCCCCAGATCCGAAGCGACTTGGTGCAAATATTTCCCAACCACTCTCAAGGGGGTCGCGCAAGCGTGGATCTCCAAGGGAGTAAAGCAAGGCTCCATAACAGGGTGGGATGATCTGTCCTCCAAATTTAGGAGCAAGTTTTCCACGGCAAACCGCCGAGAGAAGACTACTGCAGAACTCATGAGTCTACAACAAGGGGAAACCGAAAGCCTCCGAGACTATCTGACCCGTTTCAGTAACGAGTCATCCAGCGTCTCTCAGCTAGACCAGGGGCTAGCCGTTTTTGCAATGCAGAATGGCCTTCAGCCCGGGAAGTTCCTAGACTTCATGGTCATGCATACCCCGCAGACCTTGGAGGAAGCTCTGAATGCCTCGGATAAGTTCATCCGAGCCGAAGAATGGAACAAAGCGAAAACCCAACCTCAATTCGGGGGAGGGAAACAAAGACAAATACCCTTGTCTGAAGGCCAAGGCCATAAGGCAAAGGGAAAGTCAAAGGCCTCGGAGCAATCTTCGGCCAGCGACCCAAAGAAGGAAAAATCTGCCTCATACACAGGCAGATACGAATCCTACACTCCGCTCTCTCTTCCACGCGCCAAAATTTACAGCGTGACGAAGGAGGAGCAGAGTTACCGAAGGCCGAGACCACTCCCAGAGTGGTATCAGCGAAGAAATAAAAATCAGTGGTGCGAGTTCCACGAGTCTTCGGGACACAACACTGAGGAGTGTATCCAACTGAAGGACCAGATAGAGGACATGGTCCGGAAGGGATACTTGAAAAAATACATCGCGGATCACCGCGAGAAAAAAGAATCCGAGAAGTCAGCAAAGGACTCTCGGCAAGACCTCGACTTCCCCCGGAAGAACAGTAAAAAGCCGGAGGGGAAATTCCCTCCGATCAATGTTATCTCGGGAGGAATATACTCTCGGAGGGAGCACAAGCGACACCTTAGAGCTTTGACTCACCAGGTGAACAACGCTGACATTCAATCTCCCCAGTCGCCGGTGTCAAACATGACGTTCACAGCCGCCGACTGCCGGGGGATAACGTTCCCTCACGAGGATCCGTTGGTGATCATCGCCACGGTGGCCAACCACGACGTCAGTAAGGTCCTTGTTGACGGTGGCAACGGAGAAAACATTCTGTTCCGAAAGGCCTACAATCAAATTAAGCTGAAGCCCAAGCACCTCACGCCGTTACCCTACCCGGTATCCGGGTTCAACGGGGCTTCAACTTATCCAGATGGGAAGGTGACACTTCCTATCACCATCGGCTGCGATAAGGCAGCCAGGAACGTCATGATTGAATTTTTGGTCATTGACGCTCCTTCAGTGTACAACGTGATTTTGGGGAGACCCATAATTCATGAGATCCAAGGGGTCGTCTCAACTTATCATCAG